ATATACAAACGGATACATACATAAATTCAATATTTATTAGTTCCTGTCAAATGTTTTTTTTTTATTGTTCAAGAACATTTTTCACTCGTTCGGTAAGTAAACTACAAACAAAACAAAAAATTACCAGAAAACATTAAATAAATATATTTCTGAACATATTAATGAAATTCATTTCGCATTTCCGAACACTGTGATGATATTACATAAAAAGCGGATTTATTTTGAATATTTCAATGTAATGCGTTAAATAATGAAACTTATCCTATATTCGTATTTTATTGAATTATTTATTTAAATACGCTAAGAAAGTTAATTACATTTTCAAGTTAATTATGCAAATTAGATGTAATCGAAAGGACTCTTACTGATTATGTAAATTATACACTTATTATAACGAAAATACAAGGGACGTTCTGAAAATAAATTTCATTTTTTCAGCCGGGAAACCTTATTGCCAAAACAAAATACACCATGACATCATGAACTAAGCACCTCGCACTATTTTTCGACGTTGTCCTCACCGACTCTGAGACATTTGTCGCAGCGTTCAAAATTGTTGCACTTGTAACTTTGACTCTCAAAGAAACCAAAGTTCAAGTACGAATACAAAGTGATTTCACCGAACAGCTTGAGGTGAAAAAGGGAGTGCGACAGGGGGATGCATTGACATGCCTCCTGTTTAATATAGCACTTTGAAAAAGTTACCAGATACTCAAAAATCCATATCAGGGAAAAGATTTGTAAGTAATAATATAAGTAAGTTCAAATACTGGCTTTTACTGATGACATTGGCATTATTGCCCAAACAGTACAAGCTCTCAAACACGCATTTATGGCATTAGAACAAAGTGCTAAGAGAAATAAGTTATCTGCAAATGAGAATAAAACAAAATATTTACCTTTTTATAAAGTCCAATTTGTGACGGGTGCTTACGCGTTTCACTAACCTTCTCTCAATTCCTTTGAGATTGTATTTATTTTAACCAATCCCCGCTGAGAGCTAAAAGTGTGACTTATGCAAACAAGATAGTTTCGGGTTTAGCGAGTTCGAAAAAGATATAAAAGGGAGAAATGAAATGAAGAGATAGAGGATGACTACGTGGTTTGATAGAGGAGTTAACTAAGAGGTTGATTAAGAAGGTGGTTCTGAGAGATTAGTTTAACTAGTGAAGTTTGTTCGCCGTAAGAAGATTATTGAAAAGGTACATTAATTCATTTCGGACGGAACTGAAGATATCAAGGATTGAAGTCGCTCTTTAGATCCTTCAAATATTAAAGAATCCTGCCTTAAAAAGATATCAGGTCTGTGATTTTCATAAATTAGATTTAAATGCGTAGTTTGATTGTAGGCGTTATTCTCCGTAGTCTCAGTTAGTGTTCCATCGTTCATAATTGAATTCTTATCTCACTCCACTGTAATTTGTTGTTCTTAAGGTTAGATTAATATTTGTGTGTTTATCTATTAAGAAAGATTAATAAATGATATTGATTTATTAATTTAGTAGTTGTTAATTATGAATCCAACATACCCGAATTTAGATAATGTGCAAAGGGGAGTTAATAATCATAGGGGTAGTGAGAGACTACGACAAATTTACAACTTAGTCACATAGAAATTAGCAGTTATAAGTTTGAAAAAGTTAACAGTGTTGCTTATTTGGGAACGGAAATAAATCATAGAAATGAGCTGGCCCCAGAAATTTGTAAAAGAATCATTGCTGAAAACAGATGTTTTTATGCCTTGAAGAGTTATTTAAAATAAAGTTTTTTCGAATTAAGAACTAAATTGCCTCTTTACAAAAGTCTTCTAAGATCTACCCTGACTTATGCATCAGAGACTTGGCCATTGACTTTACGTGATGTAGAAGCGTTGGGAGTTTTCGAGAGAAAGGTCTTGCACTGTATTCTTGGTGGGATCCAAATGAAGGAATCAGGAAGAAGAAGATCTAACTTGAAACCTTACAAAATTTACAAACAGCCTGATATTGTAAAATTTGTTAAATTACAGAGACTTAAATGGACTGCTCATTCAGCTGGAATTGTGACGAATCTATACGCGTCTTTCAACTAATATTCTTGGGAATTTTTTGGGGCTAGCAAAATTCATTAATCTTCTCCTAAGAAGAAGCCGTAATGTGCAAATTAAGTTTATTATATATAGTTCTAGTTCGCGAGTTAAAGGAGTTTAGTGGGTTAGAAGTTGAAGAAGAATAGATAAAAGCAAGTTAGAAGCAAAAAGGTTAGTAACTAAAGGTGAAAAGAGAAAATCAAGGTGAAGATTACCATAATAGGTTTGAAAGGCCTTCTAAAAGAGTAAAAACAGGAAGTTGTCATTGATAATTTACACTGCTGGCCACCATAAATGCAACACCCTGAAGGAAGCACGCAAATAACATGAAATTTACAACATGCATTAGCGGAGGTGAGATATGCAAATTATTAGAATTTCAGCGCAGTCACACATCACGCACGCCTGTGGCGCCACATCAAAGCACTGTTTAAGGCTTGGAGATTTCGATGATTTCAAGTTCGGCAATTGTGTTTTTCTTGAGGTTTTTTCAAAAAACGATCAGTTATGTCTGGTAGAAAACAGCGATCAGCTTTTAATCAAGTATCCGAGTTCGACAGAGGAAGGATAGGGGCCTACCGAGATTGTGGATTATCTTTCAGGGAAATCGGTAGTCGTGTTGGACAAAACCAAACAACTGTAATGTGGATATGAAACCGTTGGATGCAGGACGGTACGATGGACCGACGTGCTCGATGGCATCCAACTCAGTGCACCACTTCACGTGAGGACAGACAAATTGTGCGCATGGCAGTGACGGATCGCTCAGTCACATCACGAACCATAGCACAGCACATTGAGTCTGTAACGCATCATTCAGTGTCTACGTGTATCATTCGATGCCGTTTACAGCAGAGTGGTCTGTCCGCAAGACGTCAATTGCTTGGTCTAACCTTGACGCAGAACCACAGACGTCTCCGCCGCCAATGGTGCGATGAAAGAAGGATGTGGGCGGCAGAATGGAATGAAGTTGTCTTTACTGACGAGTCACGCATCTGTCTGCAACACCACGATGGTCAGATTCGAGTCCGGAGACACCGTGAAGAGAGGATGCTGAACAGCTGCGTTATGCACCGCCACACTGGTCCTGCACCAGGTATTATGGTATGGGGCGGCATTGGATATCACTCTTGCAATCCTCTAGTACATATTGCCGGTACTTTAAACAGCCAGCGCTATATCTCCGAGGTGATGAAACCAGTTGTCCTTCCTTACCTTCAGGGCTTAGCCACAGCCCTATTTCAACAGGATAATGCGTGACCACACGGGGCACGCGTTGTCCGAAAGTTCTTCTTCAATCACCAGATTGAAGTGCTTCCCTGGCCGGCTCGCTCCCCGGATCTTTCGCTGATAGAAAACATGTGGTCCATGGTTGCTCAACGATTGACCCAGATTACACCCCCAGCTGCCACACTAGATCAACTTTGGCAACGTGTGGAAGCTGCTTGGTCTGCTGTACCCCAAGAACCAATCCAAAGTCTCTTTGAATCAATGCCGAGGCGTGTGGCAGCGGTGATCTCCAATAATGGCGGCTACTCTGGCTACTGATTCTGGCAGGAACCACACTTCACAGAAGTCTATAAATGAATCATTTGATACTTGGTCAACATGTTATCTACAAAATAAATTTTGTTGTGCTATCTCTTGTCTGTCTTGGTGTTGCATTTACGGTGGCCAGCAGTGTAAATTGATTAGAAGATAAGTTAAACTGCCTAAGTTCAGGTATTGTCACCCGCATATTACGTTGATATTTAAAGTATTAAAGTGGGTAAGCGGACATTAGTTGCATATCTACCGTGTAAAGTAATATTAAGGTAGAATTAGTATTATAAGAAGTTTTATTTAATGTATTCTCCCCAAACGCGATTCTCGTCCCCTTAATCTGTTGACTGACTGGATCATCCTATTTATAGTGTTGCATTGAATTGTGTTTGAGTTGGTTAAAGTGCTAAATAAAATAATTGGAAATCATCCTGTTGAATGATTCTTCCCTTCCTTCCACACCTTTGATTGGGTCACAAGGTAGACGAGAAGTAGGTTTATTACAGAATGAATTAAGATCGTTGCTGCAAGAATATCTTTCTGGCAAGGCCCATGGGATATAGACCTATATTAATATGGATTGACTATTGAAAAAGACCTAAAAATTTTAAAAGTCAAAAATTCTAAAACAGTTGCCAAAAGCAGGGATGCCTGGAGAAGGCCAGGGCTGTCGAGCCATTGAAGAAGAAGAAATTTTTCAAATCAACGCTGCAATGTTCAATTTTTAACTCCACGAATGCCGGATTTATATTGCATTCAGCTTTTGAACAGCATTATTATCAAGTTCATGCTCATAAAAAATTTGCACGAATGTTGGCTCAATTCCTCCTTTACGAAATTCAAAACAAATAACAAAATGGAACACTTTTGGAAAAATCTTGCTTGTTGAAATGTGACTCTGGCGTTGGACAATACGCGACTCAAAACGAGGTGATGCCAGAAACAAAAACATAACGAAAACGTTCCATATATGAAGAAAATTCAACATTTCATATGTATCAACCTAATAGTTAACTTTTGAAAGAGCCATTTTAGTTCCTAATCCCTTTTGTGCAAATGACTAACTTCATTCTTAATTTTGAAATTTTTTATTTAAAAAGTAATATAAAAAAATTAAGTTAGTTCCTACTTAGGTCAACAAAGAAACATTTTATTTTAGTTACTTTTTATTAAATAGTTACAATTAATATAAATATGTATACACATATGATAGAATCGCACTATTAAGTGACAAAATAGAAAGCGATTTTCCTTGCAATTTTCCATTTTCCGATCTATATAGGGTGTTAATCTATTTTGTTTGTTTTTACTATTTTTATTCATTTAATAAATTTAATTATTCTAATAAAATAGTATAGTTAAAAAGAAATCACATTCTCAGAAATTAGGCCATCCCAGATGAGACTCGAACCCACGTCCTTTGGATTAAAAGTTCAAAACGCTACCCATTGCGCTACAGAGACTCTACGAACGAGTTTCCTTTCTATATAGGCTATTTGACTAGTATTTTTGTTTGTTACTATTTATTCATTTTTAATTTAATGAATTAGTTAATATTAACATCAAGTGTCATCCAATGCAAGTTAAAAAAATGTATTTGAACTTGAATGGATGCATAGAAATTATTTTATTAAAAATTGAAAATTTGAATAAGATATATATATATACTAGCTGACCCAACCACGCGTTGTGCTGTGTCTTTATTTTAATTAATATTATTCTAAGCCATTCAATGCAGTCGAATTAATCTTTGTTTACAATTTTGGAAAATTGAAATTAAGCGTAAAACTACATAATGTTTTTAATTTTGCATTTTATTCATCTCTTATTTGATTAAAGTAAAATACGTGAAATACTTACGAAGTTGTTAAGTAACAACATATGGAGATTTATTTTATAAATGAAATGACGACTTTGGTTTTTATCAATTTTTGTACCACCCCCACCGCAGAAAAATACCAGGTAGTCACCTTTCACACCCCCAAGAATTTTACGTGCTCCCTGCCACGGTTCGAGTAAAATACAGCCATCTGGCATTGTTAGACATAGTTATGGAATTTTTGTAATTAGATGGGAATGTTTGGATCAACGGTCCTAAAATACATCCAGGACACAATTTTTGCGCACCTACGCCTGCAAGTTAGGCCGGTCTCCAGATATTACGGTCGCCCGGCATTATCCTAAAAAATTATCGGAATTCCTAAAGTTCGATTTCAGATTCTCATCTCAAACCCCGAAACGCACACGGGACTGACTTTTGATGTCCCAGCGATTGAAAGTTCAGTCTCTAGAGGGAAAGAAAATCCGGACGCGGGACTCGAATGCAAAGCTTTTCCACCTAATCCCTTTAATATCAGGAAATGTTACTAGATATTCTGAAATCTGATATTCTCGTTTCCCGCCTCTAGACGCAACCAGAGACTACTTTCGGAGCCACTGTGTAAGTTCAGCCCCTGGAAGGGGGCATTAGGGTCGTCCGGCATTATCCAACAAAGTCACTGGAGTTTCTAAAATTCGATTTCAGATTCATGTTTACCATCCCGAAATACACCAGAAGGGCACTTTTTCCGCTCCAAGACATTAAGGGCAAGCTCCTGCCCCAGTTCGCGCAATACACGGTCGTCCGGAATTATCCAGCAAAGTTACGGTAATTTCTCAGATAGGATATCATATTCGGATTGCCCTTTTTGAAGTAGGTCAGAGACCAAGTTTTCGCGGGCCAAGGCTTTTCAGGTAAGCGCCTGCCACTGTTTGTCTAAAATACGGTCGACCGGCATTATTCGGCAAAGTTACGGGTATTATTGAAAACCGATTCGAAATTTTAATTCCACGTCCTGAAATGCGCAAGGCACTCACTTTTCGCGCACCTTGGTCTATAAAATCTGCTTCCTCAGCCACACAAACACTGCAACATTTTGATAATTTTCCTGTTTCCCGGATTCTTCACATTTCCGGCAGTAAAAAAATTATGACGTCATTAATTGAAAAAAACTTGATCCTATGTTTTAAGTTGGACGAAATGACACATACGTAGTATGCAAAATTATACTAAAATCAGCTGAGTTGTTTCGGATTTCATCGTGGACAAACATTGTGACACGGGATTTTTATATATAAAGATAGGGTAAACTAATAGCAGAATTGAAGAATGAGAAATCACACACACACACACAGACATAATCAATAATTCAATTGGAGAAGGATGTGCAAATTAAAGTAAATATTTAATGCTATATTAATTTTGTTCTGAGTGGTAGTGCATCGTGCTTCTACGCCACAGGTCCGGGGTTCGGAGCCCGGACTGGGCAAGGTCGACTCATCCTTTCAGTAGGGTGATAAATGAGTACCAAGCTTGCTTGGGGACTATACACTGGGGGTTTCGCTTCAGGCTGACCACCTGATTGGGGCATCTGCTCATGCACCTCAGCTCCCAATGGTCACAGTATGCCTTGACCCTCATGGGTTGTTGCGCCACTGAATTTAGTTTTAGTAATTTTATTCCTCATTGAACATAATTCCAACTGTTGTTACATTAGCTTCTCATATTTTATATAATAATCAATTTATAATTGTACGTACATTTTCAAAATATGTACCTGTTGTTATTGCAGACGGTAACAGAAGGAAAGGTCACCATGCCTTCATTCTCAACCCTGAGAACCACCTCCGTGGGCGAACTGTTGTACACTGCAGTGAACATGAACGCTTGGTACATAAAGCCAACAAGACCGAACAGCGACATCAGACACCAAAGCGTTTTGCGTATTCTGAAATAAAACAATTTTGTATTTCGTGATTGAAATTTAGGTATCCGACAACTTTAAAAAAAAAATGGTGATATTTAGTTTTTTTTTGGGGGGGGGGTAGATTTGTTAAGTACATTTTAAGAAAAATATGCCAATATTAAGAAGATAAAAAGAAATTATTATTATTAAAATGGGAAAAAATGGGTAAAAAGTTACAAAAAATAACATAAACACGGCCCATTCTGTACCAAAAAATTATGAACAAATTTTCAATTTTTCATTTCTGATGTGTTGCTATGTTATTCATTTTTAAAATGACCTTCAGGATAAGAGATGTTTTAATTTTTTCAGAGCACTTTATCTTAGTTATTATAAGAAATTGCTTAAAATAGCAATGATTATATTCCCATAAGGGATTGTAAATTTTGTAATAAAACGGTGATTGATAAATCTGAAGGTTAAAACACTTCTATTATTATACAGAACACACAAAAAGATTTAAGATAATTATTTTCAAAACTTTTTGAGCAATCGCTGTCTCCGTTTGAGCACTTTCAAAAAACACATTTCGAGTAAAACGCGTTTTAAAGTATGACATCTTGCTTAAAGTAATGGCATCTGCTTTTCTTAAGTAATTGTAGTTTTTGTTCTAGTGAATGGAAAATAATAAACTTGGTATTTTAATATAAAGCTAATAAGATGCTCTACAAAATAAAATCATAAAAAGAAAAATTGCGATTTTTGGCAAAATTCACAATTTTAGGATAATTGGATACCTTAAATCTGATATCTTTCAAAAAATCCCTAATAATGCAAAGATATTAAAACTCATATAATTTGCACTACATGTTACCTGCCCACTTTGGTTGGTATTTTATCCTCTTGTAATACTACACGTTCTTTTTTATTATTTATTGTTATCTAAGTCCTAGTATTAAGCTTTCGATTGTATTGTATAATATTCTTATCCACCTCCCCTCTTGATTTTTAAGAATTGTGTTTCTAAAACAGATATATATTTATTATTTAGGCCTTTGTAACCCCCCCCCCAAGGAGTTTATTTTTTAAACACCATTATTATAAAGGATCTCTACTCAACAACAGAAACATACCTGTAGAATTCCAAGTATTATGTCTTATTGTTAAAAAACCTGAAATATTTTTATCTACAATACCCCCATAATTTCCCACAAATCCCCCTTGGAATAAATTTCCGTAAAACACGTTCTTCCCAGATCTCTACTTAACACAAGAAAGATGCCTGCAGAATTTCAAGTCTGTTAGTTAATAGTTAAAAACTGGAACTCTTTTGTTCTTCAGGGCCCTCGTATCGCCCTTTGCTAGCCGTTTTCAGCGAAACCCGTTCTTATCAGATCTCTAATCAACAAAAGAAATACTTTTGTCAAATTTAAAGTCTGTAGCTCAAATAGCTGCGAAAATGCAATTTTTTAAAAATCAATAGCACCTTCGTAGCCACCTGCAAAGCTCCTCGGGTGTGGATTTCCATAAAACTCGTTATTAGCGGATATCTACTCAATAAAAGAAATGTGGCTGATAAATTTCAAGTCTATAGGTCTAATAATTTCATAGATCTCCTGATGAGTGGGTGAGTGAATTACTTTTTTCCTTGTATACATAGAGAGACTCAACGAGTTCAAAGGAAAGAGAAAATGGGCAGCTTCTGTTGATCCACGGATCGGAGCACCCAACGGTAGAAGTCTGTCTTGACTTTAATGCCTGCTGATTTCATCTGGACATAATGAAAAGGAAGGAATTGATTGAATTGTGCATGAAAGAAGGCTTAATCGCAGAAAAATAGGAATACCTGAAGTGTGGAAATTGTGTATACGAGACTGAAATAAAAAAATTTAATTGATGAATTTTACTGGAGTCGTCTAATAATAAGAATGATAATCTGCATGATGTGAACAGAAACATAAGAGGTACATGGTTCAGTGCGAGTCATTTGAGTATGTGCGAAATTTTGCTGCTTAGTAAGTACTAGTTTGGTTTGTTTGTGTGCGTGTGTGTTTATGTCTTCTCAGAGGTTTCTATGACTGTTGTTGTGAATAAAAGCGGATAGTTGGTGAAAAAAAGTGTTATTGTTTTAAGTGATGAAAGCAAGTTCGCTAAAATGAAGCACGAACCAGGTACGATTTAAGGGGGTTCACCCATGTGATAGGCTCAAAAAATCACAAAAAAAAAATTTCTTCTTAGATTGCTTTCTTAATATGTCTAGAATACGGTGGTAAAGTGATTTTTTTAAAATTCGAAGTCGTTATAAAGAAGCAAGTATTTGAAAAGCAGCTGTTCGGAGCGCTGAGTTGGAGCGCCCATTGTGTACAGTCGGCTTGTTACCATTGACCCTTCTATGCAAATATACGTTCATACAAGTTTGTAGAGGTTTAAAAAGAAATATCTGTAGCTATTGAATATTTCGTCGAACTTTTTTTTGTCTTCGCCACCAGGTATCGCCGATTGAGGGTAAGTTAAGTTTTTCGTTGTTTTAATCGGACTTGAAACTTTAAACGCGTTTTTCTCACAACAGTGTTTTTCAAACTTTCCTCCATCATACCTCAAGAACGGTTTCAGCGAATGATTTCAAGTTTATAGGGCATTTATCAACACATATATACGCATGGAACAGACTACGATCATTTCCAAAATCAGAATATTTTTATTTTTTATAACAAAAACATAACATAACCCCCTTGAAA